ATTGTGATTGCCTGTTTCTATGATGTACAGAAGTTTCTTCACCAGCCTTCTCTATCATGAACAGTTGTTTGTAGAAAATCCACCAAAATTATTAATATAATCTAATCCCCACAAAGCTCAGAAAGTGCGAAAGAAAGAATTTACACAATTTTCATATATGAGCTATTAAATTAGATAATTAGTTATTGCTTGAGATGTACACAGATTTATTGTTTCACATGTACAAAATGGACAGTCACTTGACAACTATTCAGAAGCATGCATGTATGGGCAAACAACATAGAGCAAGGTCAAAATAAATAGATAATAACCAAGAAGAAGAGGGAGGAGCTAACGTGAATAGTGAAGACAACTGCAACTATGAGGATTGCATATCCAGCGTTATAGGATGAAAACTCATGGCGAAGATGTCTTGCGACGAAAACACAAAAGATAATGACTGGAGCTATGATTAACAATAGTGTGACGAGTAGTGACTTTGCATCAGGGCCAAAAATCAACCTCCCGCCTAAAAGAAATATCTGCAACGAAACATGTTTGAATACTTTTAGCATTCTTAAACAGTAGCACAATAGCAGAAGTTGTAACAGGATTAATAAAAATAAATAGATAGATGAGCTCAAGTTTCAATATATAAGCTAGATGAAAAGTCCAGAAAAATCTGNTAAACAGATATTTCATATACATCATTCCTAGAATCTTTTTTTCTTGAACTCTGAAGTTCTTCGTAGTTCTGTTTTTCAAAAGAAAACCATATTTCATTACTTAGTATTAGAACAATACAATACATCCATATTTATGTGTGTTTCCTTCCTGTTGTTGCGGAAACTTTTTGACATTTAAGTGAAGCATCACAATGATGTGAGAACTTTCATGATTTTATGAATTCCTGAACTGTAAATTATAGCTTAACCACTTCTGAACTTCCAAACTTGTCATTAGACCACTAAAGAATACTTAGACTAAAAAAGAAAACTTCATTTATCATTCAACTGAAATTAAAGTTGACAACCGTGAAAAGATTGGAAAAATGCAATTTAGCGTTCAGCAATTTGATACGCAAGATTTTATTTATTTCCATCTTGCTTCAAATTTACCACCTGACAGTTACCACTGCCATGAACATATGGCAACATTCAAAATCAGGTGAGTATAAAGATGTTAAAGTTCATGAAACTGAATCTATCATAATTCCATACCATAACATCTAGTTTCCAGAGGTTCTCTAATACAAATAAAATAAAAGCAACATGTAGCTTCTTTTGATTCTCATATCAGTCACTTAAAAGATAGAATATAAATTATCTTTCAATCTTAACAAAGGATTCATCTGCAATAAGAAACAATAAAGAAAATTCTATTTGATTGTGCAGGATGCTTAATATAATGAAGCCGATAAGTCATTATCCCATTCCTACTAATAACAATAATAAACTATGAAAGGTTCATACAGGATTATTCATAGGTCAAGAGTGATAGAGAACAGTTTTCTATAACCAAAATTCATTCACTGCCACCTGGGAAGCATGGATCCTAAGACACATACGCAAGCATACAACACAGAAAAATCTATACATCAGCTCATCGTACTATGGCATGATATGTTGAACATACAGGACAAGACTACATTATAATGACATTGTAAAGACCCAAAATGTAAATACTCACAAATTCTATCATTGGAACAACTTAAATGTTCTTCAAAACAAGAGGCTCTTCCTGAAGTAGCCACTTAAGTTCCAAAGAACAACAGCAAGCAAACATTATCCCAATACTAAATTATAAAGATTTATTAAAGCATATAACCTTCTATAAAAGAAGCAGAAAACATAGTGGCATCTTAGACAGCCATAAAAATATGACCCTCCAAATGTATCTAAGAGACAAATTTGATTCACTTGAAAGCTAATATTTCATTTCTTAACATATTCCTTACTTATATTTGCAGTCCCATTACATCTAGATACCCAAATTCTATTAAACAACAACAACAACAACATACCCAGTATATTCCCAACAGGTTGGTGTCTGGGGGGTCAGTTGTACCAGACCTTACCCTTGTAATTATACAAGGAGGCTGTTTCCGTAGCGACCCAAGGTGCATTGCGCCGTTTGATATATCATTTTTTCTAGAAACTTCACTAATAGAAGAAGCACTAGAATTTAATTGAGCCATTTTGATCTAGTCCATTATTAGCACTATGCCAGGAAAATTGTCAACAATGACTCTTCCAGCTCCATTTGCAATGGACAAAACCCAAATTCCATTAAACAAAATGGTTATATTATTAAAATCAACCACACATTCCACAACAAAGGCTATAACATGGAATAAGTTCCTTTGCATTGGTTCACTTAAAAATCTAAAGTAATCTTCATTCTGTAATGAAGGATTGGATGTATCTCATAAAAACTCTTTTCATGCTATCAGGAAAAGATAATATCGTAAGATCTTTGCGAAGAGGAATTTAGGGTTCAGGGATATTCTTTTGCATGGTTGTAAAAATCTATAGTTCATAGATACAAGCATACAACAATAAATGAGTAGAACCATAGCCCAAGATACTAGATATCATGTCATGCAGACAAAACTCCTAGCAATCATGAAATACAAATCTGCCAATTTATTAAGTACATAATTCAGATGCATGTTTAATTAGCCCCCCTTACCACATATATAAATTTGCAATAGAATTATATTAATACAAAATTCAAATTCTTGAGCTACTACTCAAAGAATAATGAAAATGAAAATCCAAGAGAAAAGAAAGATGAACAAAAGAAAATGGTCTCCGCCTCTCAAAGGCACCAAAATATTGTATTACACTAATGCACTAAGCAATGACAGTCAATCATACAACACTTAAAATGACATGATTGCAGGGCTCTTATTCTATTAATCATACCCATTACCAAAGAATTGCCAGACATGGGCAGCAATCACTAAGCCTTACTTTGAATAAGGCATATTATACAATATAAAGAAAAAAAGAAAAAAAAGAAATCCTTTCACAGGTTTTATCTAATAGACTAATCATTGTACAAAGGTTTCATCACCAAACAAGGATGACATCAGAAATCCTAAACACAAGCAACAAATCATAATTCTAATTAACTGACATACATTAAAACATAACCCAAAAAGGAAACTGGTATATACTATGATACTCTTGATGTCCATATACTATCACAATAGGCCAAAATCATACAATTTCATGGAGCTAAAATGTTAAATTAACTTAACCACAGAAGTAAACCAAAACTTCCTAGATTCATAGACAAATACTCCTCTCAACTCTAAGCCCATACTAAAATTGTCCAATATTACTTCAGAATAGTTCAATAAATAAATAGGTAACCAAGGAAAAGGTTCCTTCATGTCTCTTTCCAAGGCACCTATAAATTTTAGTTGGCCAAAACTCAGATCATTCTATCCTAACGCAGCCTACCAAATCCCCACCCGGAAACTAGGATACAGAAAAACCAAAACGAACTGAATGTGTCCAATAACAACTGACTAAACATGCAGCTAAACCCTTATATAACCGAAACTACAAACACTATCAGAATATGAATCTAAATTAAAGCAAAAATAAAAGAAGAAGAGCCCCCACAANTAAATATCCGACAAAACTCACAAAATTTAAGTGTCAAAGAAAAGAAAAGGAGGTGAAACCGAATCTCACATTGTTACCCTTCCATACTTCGTGCACGCGCTGAGCCATTCAGCAAAAAAGTACCCACCTGAAAAAAGAAAAGAATACCAGAAAAAAGAAAGAGAGAGAGAATACGCTCTGCTACGCCGGAAATGAATCAAAGATTTCAAACTTGCAACAGTTCATCTCACGGGTTATACTGATAACTTTTTCACCAATTTATTATCCGCTCTTTTTTTCTCTTTCTGCAGTAATTAGAGGCACAAAAGTTTGAATTTGCTGCAATTTAAGACGTGGGATTTAGGGATTTTGAAAATTTGGAGGGCATTCGTCTTCTATTGTGCGATCTGATTGAGGGAGGTTTAGGAGTATGAATGAAGGTAATTGAGACTGAGGTTTTCTGTACTTTTATTTTAGGAATGTTTTTCTGGGAGATGAATATTTTAGCTTTAGAAGCAAAAACATCTTATTGGTTTGTATCAAATTCAAGATGCACAATATATTCTATGAAGTATTGTCAAGAATTGTGGGTATGCAGAAAATCAGAATAAACTGATCAATAAGAATTTGACGGATATTTTGTTGTAAAAATATTTTTTGGGTTCAATTCCTTATAATTATAATAAACATGCTTAAACATAGTTTTATGTTTCCTAAATTTAGAAACCAGGTCAAATTAGTGAATGATAACTAAAAAAATTGTAAAATATACAATATCGTTTAAAAAAAAAAAAAACAATTTATGCTTAATTTAACATTATATTTTCGAATCTATTTAAATCAAATATTAATGTATACTTTTCTTATAATTGTTCTCTTTCATATGATACTTTAACAGTTTGGCTGCTTTCTATATCTCATATATTATTTAATAGACATATTAAATTTTTTCTACCAAATATTTTTATTTTCTTTGACAATTCTATGTTTCCTATTAAATATCGATAATTTTGAATATCAAAATCTAACATTCTACAATTCTTATAAAATACCTAAATTGAAATATATTTCTAATTATGTCTAAATTACCATACATTATTTATAACCAAATTAAATTATTTATAAATTATAAAATAATTATTATGTGTAAGGAAAAGTCAAATTTGAAAATTTCGTAAGTTCTTACTAATTTGATATACATTTAAATATAAGAAAAAATATTTTTTAAATTTAATAACTATTTAGCTTGTTATCAATTTTTTCATATAAGTATTCACTAGTACAACGCCCGTGTACTACACGGGTGTTTCATAAAAAATTAATTTTTCAACAAAAAATTAAAAAAACAAATTATTATTGTGAATTAAAAAACTATAAAGATTTAATAAAAAATATTTTTAATATTATTTTGAATTCTATAAAAATATTTTATGAAGTATTATGTATTTTATTTAATATATATTTATTTTTGTCAAAATTAAATAGATTAATTAATTTATTCGACAGTTAATAACGCCTGTGAATATCACGGGCGCTTAAAAGTTAAATATTTGTATCAAAATAAAGAAGTGAAGAAATATATATTCTTATAATAGAATGATAAAAAATTAAATATACAACTAATAACTAAAAAAAATAACAAAAATAATTATTTAAGTTAATACTCTTATTTTATACTCAAATTGTTAAAATGATAATTTTCTTAACCATACACACACACACATATTTAATTTTTTTTTCAAGTATGATTATATTGTAATTATACTTTATATTTATACAATCTTTCTCCCTGATTTAATATTTTTTAAAATTTATTCAACTTTACGATGTTCAAAAATTTAAAATATAATCTGTATGAGTGTAATATTTTAACTTTACGAAATAAATAATTGTTTTTATAATTTTAATTATAATGTTTATTTACTTTATTTTTCACGATCATAATGTTTCTATGTAGT